TCTTAAATGGAAGATCAAAGTGTATAGTGTAGCTAGCAACCCAAGGTATGTAGTAGTGTATTATATGTGTATATTATACAAATCTTGACCTCTTGAACAACAAATGTGACAACATACAAGCAAGAACCAATCATTAAGGTCATAATGATATTTGAAGACATTTGAAGAATGATATTTGAAGATGCCGTGTGAATATGTGAACACAAATGAGATTTGAGAGCTCATGTGTTGTGTGATCCACAGCATACTCACACCAATGTAATCCGACCAATCCTCAACAGCTTTCCAAATTTACCAAAGGCATCTGTGGAATGGCTCTAAACAAGAGTGACTCGTGACTAACAGGATGGTGTGCCGCTCAGGTTAGCTGTTGGTTGTTTAGCTTAGTGCTTCTTTTCTGCTTTGTCCTTATTAAACAATCACAGAGCCAATACAATCAGCTGATACTCTGCCAGATTGATATGGTCTAATTTAAATATTCATGTCCACTTAATGACCGCTTTCTATCTCATTTGCTGTGCCCACAGCATTTGTTCTCACAGGCAGCACCCGTAGCAACACAAGCAGACAGCTTGCTGTGACTGCCGCAGAATGACCACTTCATCTAAACACATGTCTGAACAGTGTCCAAGATACAGTGGCCTCAAAACCTATTTGGACACTTACACCACACTTAAAAATGTATGAATTTCATGATATAGATAGGTCAGTGACAAATACCACAGTAAAGAAAAGGAATCTTTTAAAAAACTAGTTTAAAACATGTGCCAAGTTCGTAGGAATTTACTCTTTGTATTCAGGTTGGTTTCAAACGTTTTTTGTTTTTTTTATTCAATTATTATTATACAATTTTCAATCAAAGTTAAAATTTTATATCATCTCGAAAATAACATGATGTAACCATTAAAGGTCCCGTTCTTCGCGATTCCATTTTTCAAACTTTAGTTAGTGTTTAATGTTGCTGTTAGAGCATAAATAATACCTGTAAAATTATAAAGCTCAAAGTTCAATGCCTAGCGAGATATTTTATTTAACAGAAGTCCCCTTTCAAAGCCTACACGAACGGCCGTTTTTTTTAATTACGTAACTAGAACAGTTTTTTTACTAATCTCCGCCCACAGGAATACACAAAAAAGGGGGCATGGTCTTGTTGCGCTCCCACGGAGAAGAGGAAGAGTTTTGTTTGTAGAGTGTTTGTCGCCATGTCATCATCGAGACGCTGTTATTTTCATGCCGGAGTCAATTCACCTTTGTTTGGCCTTCCCAGGGACACTGTGCTTAGAGATCAATGGTTACAATTTATGTTTAACTCGGTTCCCGAAAAATATAATCCACAATTAAAACTATGTGCAGCACATTTTACCACATGTACACCTATAAAACATATATTACTAATCAAAACTCGTGCACACGTGTAACTAAGGTAGGAATAAACAATGGACTTATTAAAAAAATTCAACAACACCATCGTTAATTCGACAGACGGACAAAACCATATACCACAAGCTTTTATAACGGTTTGTAACATTTAACATTACAATTTAACCAATTAAAAGTATGACAACTACTAAATAAACAGCTTACCACTGTGAAACATCCTGCAAAAGTCGTGTTTGAACAGGTTCTTATCTCCAGGTCTGATTCTGGCTCAAATTGATAAGGTAATATGTTTGACATTTTTACAATAACAATCAGCGCATGCATCTCCAATTTATGGTAAGAGGCGTGACCTTTCCGGGCAACGTGCGATAAGCTGCTGTCGAATCACAACACAGGAACCGCTGGCACAATCAGAACTCGTTACGTATTTCTGAAGGAGGGACTTCATAGAACAAGGAAGTCATCAGGCCGTTTTTTGGACAGTGAAAACAGCGGTATACAGATAAGTAAATTGTGTGAAAAATACTGAGTTTTTTTTACACGCGAAACATGAACACATGTTATATTGCACACTGTAAACACAATCAAAGCTTCAAAAAAACATGAAGAACGGGACCTTTAAATAAAAAGAATAAAATAAAAAGTTATAATATATTTTCCTTACACCTGTGAGCATACTCCAAAAAAAAGTTTGTACCTGCAGATAATCTAACATTAATGAAATAAAAGGCCACTCAAGTGTACTTAAGTGTAAAAGTACACATTTGACTGTTTCTTTAGGCCCTTAAGTACACTTTTAAAAAGTGCACTTTGTGATAATGTCAAACTAAAAGTTCAAAATTATCATTGTTTTAAAAATCTTTTGTCATGCTCTAAAGAAATGCACTTATTTTGTTAACTAACATACTAAAACTTACTTTTAGTTTATCATAATTGCTTATTATATACAGCAGCACACATAACCATAACCATATTTCAAAGACAATAGAAGTGATTGTGAAATTACATATAAATATTTAAGTCCTGTCAACTAATTGCATTTAATATCAGTTTATAATACTTTATATTATTAATTTTATTGCAATGAACATGCAATTAATTGTCTGAAAACATTACATTGGGTTTGGACATAAGTATATTCTTTTCAACTACATTATTTCTATATCAAGGACTCTTTTTTTTAAGTATGCTAAAATGTACTTCTTGTACACAAGAGTACATAGGACAAGCCTTTTGGAAAATGGATGGATTACAATAATATAATATAATATAATATAATATAATATAATATAATATAATATAATATAATATAATATAATATAATATAATATAATATAATATAATATAATATAATAATGCGTCAGTGAATTAGTTGTGTAGGAGTGTGTTGGCGTATGGAAGATGATGCATCTGGGGCAAACTGAGAGACACACACCCAGATATTCATTTCTGCAAACAGTCGTTCCCACTGGGAGCGCTTTTGATCTACTTGGGCATGACTTCTTTTTTGGTTGACAGCAGAAGTCCAAGCCGCGACTCAACCCAGTCATGCGTGCGTGTGAGCAGCTGTTTGTCAGCCCTCTGTCCATCGCAAGTGTGGGGTTTCGGATTAGGCCTACTGAGTCAAATAACAAGCCAAGAGTACACAGCTGGTCCACACACCACAAAAACAACAGAAGAAACAAGGCCATGAGCACACTTACAAGGCATAATAATATGCATTACTGTACAAAGAGGAAATGGACGAAGTAGAAAAATCCTCTTAAATTACTACATCTATCAGCTGTGATCAGAGGATTTAGACTGCACTCAGAGGGGATGCCAGCCAGATTAAACAGAGATTAAACCTACAATACATTCACCCACATCAAACATCTTTGGGGTTCAAAGCCAGATCATAAAGCACCTCCAGCACTGATATCTGACTGCAAGCTGAGGCCTTTTGCAACTTCCTGTTGGTGTTGCTTAACTTCCTATGGGCAAGTGGGAAGACTACACTTGTTATGATGAGGATGATTTTTAAAAGCACAATCCCTGCTGAGAGTCTGCTTTAAAGGGAAAAAATTAAAACCTACTAGAAATTAACTTCTTAGAATGGGTTTTTGTGCTCCAGTATCCTTAAAGACTAACAGTACTTGTTGACTGTCAGCACATTTAAACCCTTTCTGAGAAGTTGGGCATCTGAATTCATCCCCCTTAATTCACCGCCTCTACAGGCATCAAAGCCCTGCCTCTGTAACAAATCCTCCTCCTTCAGCAACAAACATCAACACTATTACTGTCAGACCTTAAATTAATGTGGATAGAAACATGGCCCAGATCATTTGGTCTAAGAAGTATTTGATGAAAAAAATTCAATGAGTTCATAATGAAATCTCTTAATTCTGATTGCATGAATCTTGCTGTGAGGGAAAATCTGATTCCATTTTGTGAAAAAAATATAAAAAAATAAATTTAATTTAATTATAGTATTCTTTGACATCATGTTATGTAGTCATTAATAAGTAATGCTATCACCAAAGTTTGGAAAAATACACACTTAAACATTCAAATAATGTCATGTGTAAGTGCTTAGCTGATTTACACTTTATTAAATTAAACAAAAGTAATAATAATAATAATATTAATAATTATAAGGGTGTTTCTTTTCATCAGTACATCGTTTCATCAGTCTATCGTTTGACTCATGTGAAGATTCAGTCCAATTTGGTTCACTAAAGAGAATCAGATTAAAAGAATGATTCGTTTACGAGCCGGACATCTCTAGTACCTTGGCAAATGTTAGAACAGAGCAAGACTTTGTTGATATCTCTTCTGAATTCAGAGAAGACACATTTGAGATCACATAGAGATCTCATTTGTGATTTTCTTGTCAAGACTGATGATCCAAGCGATATAAATAGGGCAGCACAGATCCAAGCAGATTTGAACATAAACTTGAAATCATAAAGAAAAGGCATCTCCCTCTATTTATACTTGCACACACTCATTAACACCCTGGATTGAGCCATCAGAGGTTTGCTCATCACTCAAGGGAATTGCTTTGACCTAGATCCAGTGCCAACCATAAACAGCATAAAAAACAGGGGAAAACAAAACACTTCTGCAAATTAACACAAGTCAGAAACAAAATGTTCTTTATAGGGCCGGGGGGAAAAAAAATGATGATTGCATTGTTTCTCTGAGATCTGTGTACGACCACACGGTTCAGAGTGTTCCTGTGAGCTAGCTGAATGTGGGGCTAATTTCAAGTGTGTAGGGCTAATTTGAGCTATGAATTGCTCTTCAACAGCCTCAAAGCTCCCATCGTCAGGTTGCCATGGCTACTTCAGGACTTGACGTGCTGCTGAGTTGCCAGTCAGCACAGTAGTTTACTGCAGCCACCCACCTGTAATGTCACTAAAACACACTGCAAGAGGAAGGGGACACAGCAGGACTCCTGACACTAGAGAATGCCAAACCAGGGGACTCAAAATGAGTCAGGACATTTATTTGAAACACAAAGCACTCCTATAAAAAAAACTGTATTTTCACTTGTTGTACTGACTTCACCTTTTCTAATATATAAAACAGGCAATGAAAGTACACATACATATTTAAAAGAAATATGTGAACTTCACCTTACTCATGTGGAACTCCAGTCGTCGCATGTATCGCTCTATGGTCTTGATTTGCTGGGAAGCAAGGAAACAAAACGTAAAAATAAGAAAAGTTATTCGCTGAAAAAGAAAATGCAAAAGATTTCACAGAGAGCAATCTAAGTTCAGAGTTCAACTGACACCTTAGGCGATTGGAGTGTCGCAATAACGAATCACTGCTGCAAGAATGCAGCACATCATTTATGCAAAGCTGCTTATTTTTCCTGCTGCATGTTTCTAACTTCTTACAACGATTTAGAAAGGTTAACACAGGTCAACTTCGACAGGTTAAGAAGCATTAGTGTGTTTAAGGACCCTACCTTGTCCAGATCATACAGCACACCCTGAGGAAGAAAAAAAATGTATCAGTGGAAATGCTAGAAAAATCCACCTATTATAATAATAAAATATATATATTTGGAAAAATACACTGCAGAAATGCCCATATTAGACCAGCATGAAATTCATGCAGCAGAATATAACTGGTGAAGGTCACCAGGGATTTCTTGCTAATTTTACTAGAAAAATAGTCTTTAAACTAAAAAACATGCTACACTGAAATTAATGACATCTTACTGAGCTTTTTTTGTTGTTGTAGATTTTCACTTGTTTTTCATTTGTTTATACTAAAAAGAAAACAAATCTGCCAATGCAGTAAGCCAAAGTATCTCATATTAAAATACATTATCTGAAAACAAGTCTTTACATCTTGTGCAGTGTTGCTTCTCAAGTAAATGTTTCTTATTTAAAGGATGTCTATGTTTAATACATAATTTTATTATAATATACATTTTTCTGAAAGAAGTCATTCGTACTTAATATTTTTGAGGAAACCATGATCTATATATATAACATTTTAGGATAGTCGCCTATTGAAATCAATAGATTAGCAGCACTCTGATGCACCGTAAACTATAGCGTTTAGGAAGCCTGATGATGTCATATCCTGTCTCACCAGTCTGGAATTCCTCTTCATGTCTTTCATAAGGGAAGTGAGTTTATCCAGCTCTGTTTGGTGCACCTCTAGATATTCACTGACAGAAAGAGAAAATGACAAATCCTTCAGAACTCTGTAGAACTGCATGAACACTGACTGTACACAGTACAAAGATTTCATCACAGCCATTCTGAGCAGCAATGATTCATGCAGTCAATGTGCATACAGAATGACTGTAGACAGCTGAGAGAGAAGATCTAAAGTATGTGACAAGACATATGTGAGTCAGAGGAGACATCTAAACAGCACTCACTCCAGGCCTTGTTTAAGGGCTCCGTAAACTTCTTCCACTCTTTTGGGCTGAGGCTCTCGTGAGCTGCTGCTGCTGCTGCTGGATTTGTGCCCGGACAGATGGGGCTTCCTGGGCTTTGAGATGGGCTTCTTCTGCACTGCTGAGTTCCCCATGAAGGAATTACACCTGAAAACACAAACAGATGCGGATGAATCTCAAGGAACCTGTCAAGAACATGTGGTGGTCATTTTCACCACAAAATCAAAAGAAAGAAATTATATGTTTCTTAAAGTAAATTAAACCTTATTTTAGGACAATTACAATCAAGGAAAATGATTGTAGATTGCCAAGTCTCTGTGTTGTTAGTTGGTAGTCAAGTCAAATGTATTTATATAGCACATAGTTTCAAAAGCAGCTTTACAGAAAGTCATACTAATGACTTCGTGATTTACCATAGAGGTGTTTTAAAGGGGACCTATTATGCCTTTTTTCAAAGTCTCGATTTTCTTTTTGGGGTCTACTACAAGAACAGGTTTTCATACTTGAATGTTTAAAAAAAAACATTATTTTTCACATATTTTACATTGTTGCAGCACCTTTCTTCCCAGTATGTCAGTAATGCTGTTTAGTTCCAAAAAAAATAGCAATGTGCTATGATTGGTCGGCTTGACCAGTGTGTTGTGATTGGTCAACCATTACCGCGAGTTTCAACACACTACTAACACAACTCAACCAGGCCTCGTCTGGATCAGGAACACAGGCAAACAGGAACCGAACAGAGCCAAACCAAAACACAAAGAAACTAACATACTCGTGACATTACACCCCCTCCCCCCTCTCACAAGGCGTGTCCTTGCGCCATAACTAAATAACTCAGTCCAAAAGGGCTTTGAAGGAGGACGTGGAGCTGAAAAGGGATGTGACCAAGGAGGGTCTGACAGAGGAAACCACCATGGAGGAGACGACGGAGGGAGGAGCTGACGGAGCGAGGATCCAGATGCTGACCAAGAGCACAGCCAGGACAAAGGACCATGGTGGAACCAATGGTGGGAGGATCCAGGGTGGAATCAGATGTCCGACAACCAGCGGCGGAGCCAGGATAGTTGGAGACCCAGGCGGAGCCGAGGATACACAGAGACACGATGGAGCTGAAGGTGTGGAGGGACGAAGCGTAGCTGAAGGCCTGGAAGTCCGTGGCGCAGGCAGAGTCATGACTGACCAAGGGAGCCCGGTGAAGCCGTAAGGACGATTGCCTCAGGTGGAACTAAGTGAGGAAGGAGCCAAAGCAGAGCCGACATGCAGAGGCGGAGACAGAGGATCCTCGTGCCAAGGTGGAACTGGAGACCGGAAGACCCAAGGCGGATCCGAGTTTCTGGTTGGAGCCAACAGAGGAGGAGCTGACCGACTGAAGGGAACCAGCAGAGGCGGGGCCAGAGGACTAGCTTGCTTTGGTAGAGGTGGTGGGAGAGAAAGGCCGGGTGGGATAATTAGAAGCCCAAGATACTTGGAGTCTTGAAGCTAGGTGGAACCAGCAGCGACGGGAGACTTAGGGGAATAACCTCATCCAAATCTACCTAATCAAATTTCCCAGAGGCTAGATGCAGCTCACCCTCATGCACCTGGTCAGACTCTTCGTTGGACGTGGGCTCCAGGCGATGTTGAGCTCAGGAGTCTTCTCTGGCACTGGCATTTCGGAGTGCTCGGTCTCTGTATCTGCGTTGGCTCAGGCATCTTATCTTTTGGAAGCTTGGTTGGTGGATGGCTGGGCTCTGGATCCGGAGTGGGGCTGGTGATGTCTTCATCATCTGCAGTGCAGACAACGAATGAAGATCCATAATTCACCAGCACCCACTCCACATAGGAAGTAAAATTCCTCTGAGGACCATCCATGGGAGGGCATAATTAAAATAAATAATTTCTTATTTTTTATTCTTTGAGGTGAAACATGATGTGGAAATGTTTTTGTGAGATTCACCCATGTAATATCTTATCTTTTAAAGAGAATCCTACATCCATGAGATATCTCTATATATATACATATATATATATATTTATTTATTTTTCTTCTGCAGCTCCCTAACATAAACACAAGTGAGTTTAGTGCAGACTTGGAGTCTGTAGTCTAGTGTTGGAATTTCAGTGCACTTCACACTCATCTGTGCAATATCCTTGCAAATAACCACCCCTTTCTCTTTTCAGAGGTTTCAAGGATTCATGTCATAACATCAGTTAAAACCCAAAATGTTACAAGGATAAAGCTTGTGCTGTACATCTAATGCCACTCTTCCTCAATGCTTTCTGACATTTAAGACTTCTGTCAAAAGGCAGGGTGCTTATTAGCCTACTTCTGATGTCACAGTAATAATATTCATGTTTCATAATAACACAAAGGCCGTTGGTTGTTTGACATGTCTGAACGTGTCACACGCACAGACAGTCAAAAAGAGCACTAGAAGTAGTGCTACAGTAAATCTAGGACATTGTGTAGAATGAGCACATGCTGTTGCCTAAGGGGTCACCCAGTCACGATTCACTCCGTCATACTAAGATAAGCCAGCACGCACAGTAAAAATACACTCTTTAATGCGGTTACTGCATCTGTTGTTTCACATCAGTATAATTTGCAGTTCTTTTGCCATTTGTTTTTATAGAGGAAAATCTTGCCTGAAAAGTGGTAGCTGTTATAGCAGAAATCGGTGGAATTACCGATTTTGCAAATATTGGTGTGGTCTTAGGGTGTCCACATACTTTTGGTCATGCTTTATAGCTCTTTAAAGAAACTCCCTTAAAAACCAATGCAGAGAGATAAGAGGGTTTGCCCACTTGTCACAAAATTTGCTAGGTGCAAAGTAAACACCCAGAAATGGCATGGCATGAATTAAACACTATTACATGATACATTATTATTATTTATTATTATTATTTTATACTTAAAAAGAAAAAAAAGTACATATATATATATATATATGCATGGTTATGGTAATTCACACCCTTTCTCAACCTCTCACCTCTGCCTGCAAATGCTTTAAAATATGTTTAACAGTCCTATGTAAAGTGTTAAAAATACAATTGTTTCTTCTGCAGTGGCAAAACTGATTTTTTTTATATGCATCCAGTGAATCAAGAAGCTCATCTAGAGAGGGGTGAGTGTTTTAGCTTCTGACAGGGCAGATGACCTCACCGTGAGCGTCTCTCCTGCAGGGTGCTGAAGCCGGCGAATGACTGGCTCCTGATGATGCCATTGGGCCCTCCAGGAGAGTGAGTGCCAGCAGCCATGATGTCTGGAGAGCGGGAGGACACTCCTGCAAGGGGACAGAGAGAATTCTAGATAAGAGAGAAGTCAGTGGTACAGATGGGGGAAGGGTTGCGTGTCTAGGATGATGCCGTTAATATGATAAATATCTAGTTATACGTAGCTATACGTAGAGTTACGCTTCAACTAAGTTTAATGGTGCAATACAAAAATATTTGGTAGAGCATAAATTGTAACTTATTGCCCCTTTAAGTCACAACTATAGGCTTAGTTTTAACTTGCACATAGCTAGTGAAACAGGACCTAGATCCAGGACCTTATTTTTTGAAAGATACTGGCTCTCTGATAAAAAGATATCCTGACAACCTTGTAAATGAATGTACAATAAGCCAGCTAAAAATCAAACAGGAAAGCAAGCAATGAGTCATTTAATCTCCAGTGTATATGGTTACCAAAAATAGCACTGCAGGGTGAGAAGACCCCATACGGTGCACATTCAGAGGTTTTTATAAACCGCTCGAAGCCACCTGAGCCCGCTGCAGATGAAGACAGGAAAAGCACTTACAAACAGGAGGTGGTCTAATGAAGCCCTGAAAGACCAACGCCATCACTCATTTCTATCAAATGCAATGATCCAGAGATGGTGTAGAAATCTCCCGCCTACAAAAAAGCCTTCATCTCCTTATAGCTCATCTCCAACCTCCCATATTTCATCAGAGCAAAGTGGGATGATGACAGCAGTGGCAAACTCCCGATTTGAGGGTAATGAGGCTATGAGATCTGTGATCATCGATAAGAGAGGACTCATTTTGACCCTAAATTAGCACGCAACCCTCATAACCCAGCGGGGGAGTTACATCTACGCCAAAACAGAGGGAAAAATCGGGGGGTTGAGGCTGAGATTCTCTCTATAGTTGAGGTTACATACTGTGTCAAGGTGCCGTGTGTTGGAGGTAATTATACACCTGTGGGTTTATGCTCAGTGCAATAGATACACCATTGCTTAGATGGAGCTACACAAAAGCAATACGGCTCTGGGCTAGATGTTTTGCACGGGAAATACAAAAGGGTCTTGTATAACGTGTACCAGGCTAATTATAGGCACTGCAGAACATGAACTTATTTACCGTGCATTTTGATCATGACAAAACAAACAGATAATTCAGATAAAAGGCAGAAATAATAAAAAGATTACACAGTAGCATATAATTCTTGCTGTCTAAAATAACACATCCAATCAGAGAAAAGTAATGCTCTACAGAATGGTGATACATTTCCATACTTCTCAAAATGTGTTCCTTCTCAAAAAGTAGTAAGTAATAATATATATAAAATAAAATAAATATATATTTTTTAATTAATATAATTTATTTAACTTTTAATTGAATATTAACGGTGTAACACAACTTGAGAAAAACTTTGGCAAATTTGACCCTATTCCTATATTTCAAATCACTTTTGGCATGTCATATAATTTATTTCAACTTAATAATTCATGCATCAAGGTGTTCATGTTGATGAATCAAAATGCAAAACGAACACATGCAAAATGAACACAACCTATATAACCAATTGCGTATTTCAACAAACAAAGGTTCCACTTTAGTTTCAAAAACACAAAGCGACACTGTGCCACCCAGTGCATGCTGGGATTGTTCCACTCATTCTATTCAGGCCTGGCCGTCTCGGTTCACAGGCACTTGTGAAGCGCTGTTGATGTTGGCTACGTCATCCCCGTCCCTTCGGGCACGACTGCTCATAAGTATTCTGAGTACAGCTGCCTGGCACCCAATTCTGAACTCTTCACTGTGAGAGACGGATGACGAGGACAAAAGAACCGAGGAGGGGGGCTTCATTAATTTGTCACCTCCAGCAGGGACCATGTTTTTCTGGCCCGTTGAGAGTGTGAGGGGGTCTTAAAGCTAGGCAGGAGAAGTACTGAATGAAAAGTGATAAACTGGTCCCTCGTTTCCTCAAAAAAATCCCACATTATAAATTCTGACTAGTATTTTTTTATTATTTTAAACATAAATCTAAACAAGTAAAAAAAATTGCCATTGGGTTAAGGAAAATAAACAAGTTGCGATCTTACATGCAGTAAAAATCTTTGTTTTAAACAGAATGCATATTATATTGGTACCATATTTGTTATCTGTCAGGTTAAAGGTATTGGTCGATATTGGATATTTAATTGTTCATGCTCATTTCCCATATTTTTTACCTTTGCTGTCATCTTTAAAAACACTTCGAATTTAACAACACTGTTAAATGTAATCTTTATGTCAGTGCCAATAGCCTCGTTGGCAGTGCGTCCCGAGTTCGAGTCCCGGCTCGAGGACCTTTCCTGATCCCGTCCCTCTCTCTCTCTCTCTCTCTCTCTCCAACTTCACTTCCTGTCATAATAAAGGTAAAAACGCCAAAAATCTCAAACTGCATTTTTCATACTGTACATTACAATTTTGTGATGCCTAAATTCACTTGTGTTATTTAAAACGACAGGTTTTATTTATTTATTTAGTATTTTACTTCATTTATTTAGATAAAAATTCTAAATAATATAACCAGTTAAGAATCATTTCTTTTCTTCACTTCAGCCTCTGGAAAAGTCATTTTATTTCCCCATGAAAGCATGCGTGCACAGCAACATACGCACAAGCACAACAAACACTAGCAGCATGCGTGAATATCATCAAACTCAACCCACACTGCAACTTAACAGCAGAGTGATTCCGAACGCCTGTATAAATTATAGTTTCTATAGTAACAGTGGACAATACACAATGTGTCCAGCAAAAGAACAATGCTGTCATGGATCCCCCGCAGCAGGCCTCCTCCTGTCCTTCTTCTCTGAGGGTCCGTTGTCTTCCTCTGTGTGGTCTTTTGCTCTAAGGTAGGAGTACATCCCGCCCGGTTTCAATCCCAGCAGCTGTGTGATGCTCAGCTGGTCTTGTTCCACACTGACACTCCGCCTTGGAATAGCAATGACCTCACTTCAAGCATCCATGCCAGGTCAGAGAACTAATGTCAACCATGTGGCAGTGACCGACTGACCCTGCTCTACCCATGCTGTAGTAATGTGTGCTTTTTGGCAGTGTTGCCAATTGGGCCAGGAGAATAGATACGGTTGATGTGAGGATGTGCAAAACCACATACACTCAAATTTAATTAGCCGGTGGATTGTCTGAATGCCCTTAGAGAGGACCTATTGTACTTTTTTACATTTTCAACTTTCTCTATGGCTCCACCGAGCGGTCCGGTACAATACAGTATAGTACATTTCGGGACGTTAAAGCTTGATCCGGCTTGCGTTTCCACCACCAACAGTACCCTTACTTGATAGGTGTGGTGTAGCGATCAACGTCATTCTCGCACGAAAAAGAAGAAAGCGACACAGTAAAGTAAACAACAATGGAGGACATACAGCAGATCTTGTTCTTGCTTCTCGGCATGTGGCTGTTTCTCACAAGAGGAAGACGGCTTTGTATGAGCAAAGGCTGCATGCTGCAAGGAAAATACAGCCGAAAAAGCATGCGCAAGTGACAATTCTCTGTCAACCAATCAACGTTCTGCAGTAAGTCTAGCTCCACCCTTTTGTACCTGACTACTGTGCTAGGTACCCCAACGGAAGGGTCCCAAAAAAGTGGTAGAGTACTGTTGGGAATTAGAGTGCCATTCACAACTTCTGACAATGGAAACAGCATAAATTACGGAGAGGCCTGGTTGCGTTCATAGTGTTAAATCTCAGTGTGAAATTTCCGAAAAACACTCAAAGCTGTTGACCAATCACAACAACACACTAGTCCAGCAGACCAATCAGGGCAAATTGCGCTTTTCGGAAGGAGGGGCTTCCTAGAGACAGGAACTAAACAGAGCGTTACTGAGAGACTGGGAAGAGAGGTGCTGCAACAATGGTTTTTGAACAATCTAGTAGACCCCAAAAACAAAATCAAGACTTTGTAAAAAGGCATAATAAGCCCTCTTTAACAGACCTGACTTGTATCTCTGCACAGGAAAGGACTCATCATGAGCACAAAGACTATAAACACAGTGAAACATGATTCTAAAGCAGGCACATCAAGACTGAATGGATGCTCTTGTGTTGTGACCGAAAAATCATGTGCTCATGATGACAGTGGCTGCTATTGATAAACAATGTCAAAAATAAATTAACATTTTTTCTTGAAACTAGGAGGCATTTTAAGTCTATCAATGGAAGAACAAACACTATTTGGGTGCCCTTAATAGTAGGCATTATTTTGAAATAAAGTGCAAGCATAAAAAAAATATAATTATTTTATAAAAATGTAATCTAAGCATTTAATAATTTGATGTGGGCTTCAGCAGCCTGTACAAAAATGACTAAATAAGGGTTAGCTGTAACCACACTGATTATATCTCCAAATAGAGGATAAAAAAGATTTTTGACAAGAGCAAAGACAAACAAGTGTCAAAATATACAAACAAATACAAACACTCACTCTCACTTAGGTCAGTAATGCTTCGTTTCATTACACTCCAAGTCAGAAACGTCCAACTTAGAAGAACATCTCTTCTAACTTTGTAACTCTCAAAATTGTAGATAATATTTGATGGCAACTTTAGTCAACCTAAAGAAAATAGTGAAATGAATGAAAAGTTAGCAGAGACCCAAACTGAAGTGGACAAAAAAGGGATCCAAGTTCACGTGTTGTGCATACAGTCAAATTGAAGAAGTCTTTATACAAATGAATTTCCATGCTGGTCAATACACTGCTTTATTGCCAGTTGACCAGCATGGTCTTATTGGTGAAGCCTGGGAAAAAAAAAAATTGGTGGGAATGTTTGCCACAATTTAATAGTTTAGTTGAACTTATATACTTATATATACTTATATATACTATATATATATATATATATATATATATATATATATATATATATATATATATATATATATATATATATATATATATACTTATTTTTGAGTGCAGCATAAGGCATGCCTCATATTTCCTTCTTTCTTCTTAAAGGTCAAAAGTCCACATAGTCTGTCAAATGTAATGGGTGGAG